ATATATATATATATATATATATATATATATATATATATATATATATATATATATATATATATATATATATATATATATATATATATATATGTATATACATATATACATATAAGTGTACACGTATATATATGTATATGTGTATATATAATATGTACACACACACACACACACATGTATACATATATACATATGTATATACATATGCATATATTTACGTATATATTTATGAATATGTATATGCTTGACTATACAGTATTATTAGCTATAATATTATCAAAACTGATTAGTTTCAACTCGGAAGTACTAATCAAGAAATGCCACTGCGCTCAAGAGACAAGAACTACCGCTGATTAAGTCAATGATAGCACAACAAGAAATTATTAAGAAAAACATTCAGTAGTACTGTGTTATTTGTGGTCTTTCGTTTGGAATATATGCACTGACTTCTTTTGTGAAATGTGAAGTCAAAAGTAGTAGTGGTTTGCATACAGAAATAAACCGCAATACATAAATCGGTAGAGAAAAAACAGAGTGGGAGAAAACAGGATAAGAGTAATTCTTAATTTTATCCACCACATTTTAACAGAAGTAATCTTTCTGATAATTTCCGACATAAATCCCTTAATAAATTTCTTCTTTATTTTGTATTAATGAAACCATTAAATAATTTCCCAGTCTTATATTATATCAAAACGAATGATTAGAATGGAGAGTTACACTTATTTTAAAAGCATTTTACGAAATCAGATTAAGCAAATGTGTAGATATCTTTATGATTTAATTACATATATTCCACAGGAATCCAACACATATACATGTATATGTACATGTATATATATATATGTATACATATTATATATACATATATATATATATACATATATATATGTATATGTATATACATGTATATATATACATGTACGTATGCATATATATGCATATATATGTATGTAAATGCCAAATTGAATAATTTAAAAAATTCGGAACAAACCCAAACGTAGGTATGTTACGGAGTTTATTGAATGGTTACAATTGCATCATTTTATTTATATACTACCTGATTAAACTTGTGACGATTCAATACGATATCATTAAGTATCACTAGAAGTTATGAAAAAGGAGAAAAAGTAATAAAAACCTCCATAAGAGTGGATAAATCGTTCCGACTTAACACGTCGATTGAAGTACCATTGATTCGCAGCAACTGGTCACCCGGTAGTAACCCATACCGAATATCGTTTGGTCTTGGTGGACCATCTCGGAACTTTACGGGTTCCACAAAGGCAACAGCATGCAATTTCCCTTGTTTATCAGGAATCTGCGTACGTCGTACGATAAAATCAAAGTCACCTGAGAAAAAAAAATCAATGGATAATTTCAAAAGCTTTCACGCAAAATAGAGTGGATGAATCTCAGTTATGCCACTTCTAAATTTCAAAGAGGAGAGAAGTGATAGAAACTTATCACAAAAATCTGAATCAAACCATCAATTGCTTGAATTATGCTCACCAGAAATATTTCGGTGTAATGTCACAGTCCTAATATTGACTTGTACCGGTGCCAAGGCTGGAAGCGACAACTTCGGTAAATTCTGAAAACCGAAAACTGACTACTTGTTTATTGAATCTAAAGATTTTAAGATACTCTCTGAATATTTTTCGGAAGATTCAAGCCCGGAAAAAAACATCAAAAATAAATAAACTAATTTTAGCGCTAAAATCATGCATAATACCAAAATACCTTGAGGACGTGAAACGAGGAAGGGGAGGAAATCGCGACAACTGCATCGGCCATATTGCCTGAACAATTCCTCCCACAGTTATAGAAAACAGAGAATTCTTCAAGTCGTTCAAAGGAACGATTTTATGTAATCTCTTTTCCACTGTTACTTTTGTTGACCTGAAAAAAAACGGATTCAAAGCCCAGAAATTGTTAAAAAAAACACTTTTCATACACAAGCATCAAATTCTTGAGACTTGTAATTAAAAGTTCATGTCCTAGATTTGATAAATGCTCATAGATAAATCTTAACACTTCTCACATTTGTTTCCTAAACGTTATGGAATGTTGAAGTGAAAAGCAGTCAACCCTCATGCATGTATCCAGGATTTTAAACGTTACCAAACACGTGACCCAATCCCACAACCTTGATAACAGTGATAGCATGACATAACACGATATTGGTGTCACCACTACACAGAAATTGGCATTGTGACACGGAACCATCTCCTTGAAGTCCAGTTATGCAACCAAAGTGGATGGTTTTGGTTCCCATATTTACCTGAAATTTGTCGAAATCGTCGAGTTGCAAGGGTAACGGATTGTTGTCTCAGTTAATTTATAGATGGATTTTTTTTCCATTTTTAAATTTTGCAGTATTTTATCCGATATTTCGCTTTTCCAGATCAGATATCCTGTCGAACTTATTAGCTTTGGATAATTTCGTTCTGAACGAAAGAATTACTCGGCCAGTAATTGGCTAATTCTATCAGAATTCGGATTTTTCGAGATATCTCTATGTAATTTGTAAGAGAAAAGGAAGGAAATTATTGTAGATGGCATTCTTGACGAATTTGTTTGGTGGTCAAACCAATGGTACACATGAAACGGATAATGCTGCAGAAGTTGTGGAAAACCTAGTCGAAAGAGTAGAGACTTCCACGGTTCCTGAGGATCGACGTGATGCTCTGAAAGCATTGCGATCACTTGCTAAGGTTACGATCATTTCTGTATAAGTGCTAATTTAACAATTATCAAGGGAATCACAACATGCAAATTATCATTGGGGTTGTTAAAATTTAATTGTAGGAAGAACAGAGTTTGAAAAATGGAAATTCTTGGCGGGAAACATAGCAAGTTATTTGGGAATATTTGCAAAAAAAGAAAAGTTTGTTAAGAGAGTATCATATGCTAATTCGTAAATATACGTGAGCACATTGAATAACATCGTGAATTGGTAATTAATGCATGATAAAATTCTTTTGCAAACAAATTTTTCAATAGTAACAAGTCATCATGGAAATAAATAAATCTGAGGGTAATTCATACAATACAGTATTGCAATGCTGTGAGTAAATTCCAGTATTTCTTTTAACGGTTTTTCTAATCTTATTTAAAGGAAGGAAAAAGGTGAAAAATTACAGAAAGTACGATTGCCAGTTGCCGCTATAGGTATGAATGTTTATATGGAGATTCTGGAGAAGGAAGGTAATAGTTCGGAGATTGTATCTATCGTCCTTGAGATACTAGTAGCTGTTCTGTGCGATGATGATTTTCCCGATGAAGGTGGGAGTTAAATTATTACGCATCGTTTTGATATGAATTATTTATTTTTCTAGTATAGCAAATCAGTTGAAGAAAAAATCAAATTTAAGGACAAGATGAAATTGGTGAACGGCTTGCGGAAATGATAGTTCGAAGAAAAACATTTATTACATCGATCATGACACTTGTTGAATCATACGAATTTGCTGTTCGAAGGTATGCTTTTTCCAATTTCATCGGGATCACTGCAGCTATTTCAGCAACCGTTCAGTACGGAGAAAAGAGGCCAGAGGTTATATTAATACACGAGTCATGGAAAGGGGATCATGTTACCTACTGTCAAACTATTCATCAAGTTTTCTCGGTGACTAAGCTTTGAATGATTTTTTTTCTTTATTCAAATCGACGAAACTATTAAACAGTGTTTCCAATGTGAACAGAGCTTAAATTTTTGCCAGCAAAGATACTTTTCTCTTGCAAAACTTAAGTTTATGGTTCTATAAATTCCTGGTTTTTTTAATCCAAGTTTTTGGTACGAAAACTTTCCAAATGTATAATTGCGTGTTCCAGAGCAGTAATACAATTATTAACAGCACTCTTGCGACATCGCGCTAGTGAAGTACAAACAGCTATTGTTGAAGAACCGATGGGAGTATCTCGTTTAGTGGATTTGCTTCACGACACCAGAGAGGTATTTCATTATTATTAAAATAATAAAGGTCAAATCTGGTAGGAAAACATTTCTACCTCACTTTTTTGAATATTATTTTATCAGAATCTTCAAATGGTACGTTGGATTTCTGTATGCCAAATTAAATTCCAGTACACTTTTTGTTTAAGATAATTCGTAACAGTGCAGTGTTAATGATGAGTGAGCTAAGTCGAGCACATCCACAGATCCAACAGCTTCTGGCTTATGAAAATTCATTTCAACTTCTTTTTGATGTAATCGATGTCGAACCCATGGAAAGTAAGTTTCTTTGCAAAAATGTTACTGATATGCTCGAGATCACGAATTGCTTTGCCATACTTTATGCTCGGATTTTCAGGTATCGTCATTGAAGACTGTCTTTATGTGATTCTTAATCTCTTACGGAAAAATCCGAAGAATCAGCAATTGTTCCGAGAAGCCAGGTCTGTATATATTTTACGAAAGTGAAATGCTGAGAACAGTTCATTACGTATATTTTTAACTTCGTTACCATCAAATCTGATCTGAAATCTATCTGAGAACAACATGATTTATCTTAGAATCTTGAGAATACTATATGTGGACTACTAAATACTCGTTATCGAAGACCAAGAAAATCAAAATACCAACAGGTCGTGAATTATAAACGGTTTCACGCTGTTTGATATTGAGTTGTACCGTTCTTTTGTTGCAAGTGACAAAAAGACAGCAAGTCAAGGCGAAAAAATTCAAAAATTTGAAAATCTTTAATTTGTTTCCAGTTTAATACAGCGTTTGGCAGTACTATTGAACTCTTTCTTATATGGGCGAGAAGGTGAACAGGATTTACCACAACGCGATTTTGAATGGCAAAAGCAAAAAATCGCAAACGTGATATTTTTACTTCAAGTTGTGCGAAGTTTGATTGCTCCACAGGATAATTCACAGAGCAATACACATGCCGCACAGAAAGCCATTTCACATTCAGGTAAGGTTTTGATATTTCAATAAAAGCTACTTTCGAGTACATCGCATTGGCATGCCAAGTAAGATGTATGCTGATACACTGGGATTGACTGGATAACAAATATGATTTACTGATGGTACAACCACGTGCTGAATAATCTCTCAAAAGAAGACTTTGATACCAGCAATTTAACCACTTTTGTTAATTTATTTAAATAGGGTGACAATCACGGATTCGTTAAACATTGCATGTCGTTTCCGAATTCGATTAAATTATTATGAGCAAAAACAGCTTCTATTACTCTTAAATCTTAATTGGATTTTTTTTCAAAAATTATCCAGCTAGCAGTGTTTACTTTTGACGGTGAGATTAAACTTCGAAGCGTTGCATAGTTCAAATGTTTTAGCGTTACAGTATTAGCAGTCAAGGTTTAAATAAATGGACAAATTTTTTGTTACTCAGTTGTTTGTTTTTTAATGTAGATTGAACTTTCCTTTCTGGAACATCATATTTCTAAAACTTCCTTTTTTTTGACCAAATTTTATAAGAATTATCAGCAACAATCATTTAACAGGAGGAGAACTATAACTTGAGATACTAAGCTTCATCTTCGTGTTCATTCTGTCCATTTTTTCTTTTTCTCTAAACTCATAGAGTGCCAATGGAGTAATCGTGGTAAAATAGCAAAATGCATTGTAGATTGGATTTAGTTTTACAATTTAACTCAATCTGATCATATTACAAAATTAAATTTCAACTTGCAGTTCTTTTTTCCTGAATACATTTTTTGTTTCATAAATTCCACAACATAATTTCAGGAATGTTGAAAACTTTATGCAGTGTTTTGTTGTCCGAAATTGTGGCAACAGTGGAAGTTCTTACTGAAGCTATCATAACTGTAGCAGAGGTGATATGTGGTGACTATCCAAATCAGGAATATTTTTCAACTTGTAGTCTTGCAACCGATGTGGGGAACAGGTAGCGAGATGCGAAAGTAGATAAAACAGTATCATTACTTAAACAGTTGGTAGTTCTGAGGGATATCGCTCCATTCTTCCTGCGGGTAATGATATCTATAGTTGCAATACGAAATATTTTTCATGTTCCACGTTTAATATGCTTTTTTGTTTCTGTCTTGCAGACCAGCACTAATTGTTCTTTTATTATCAATGAATACTGACAAGCAACCGTTTAAACTACGTTGTGCTGTTTTTTATTGTTTCCTGTGTTATCTGTATGACAACGAATTTGGTAAAACAAAAGTAGGTTTTGTTTTGCTAGTTTTGCATTACAGAACGTATCGAAAATTCCACAGCTGTTACTGTTGGATGAACAGTGATGTAGTCTAAATGATGTAATTTTCGGAACACAATAAAATTTTATCCCACAGGGATAGTTAGTTAAAACTTGCAACTTTTTAATTATTAGCATTTGCTGTTAGTTTATCATTCGTTGTACTTCACAGAATCTGAATTCTTTCTTTTTTTTTCTAAAAATCCATTCTAGGTCA